GGTTAGAAAAGCATCAGTTTGACCTGAAAATGTATTTCTAAAGGTTTAGATGTGAATCACTGGAGTTTAGCACCATGTTAGAGTTAACAGAACCCTGATTCAAACATGCTGCATCAACGGAGGGAAGATCTGAGAAGGAGCTGCCAGATATTGATCTTTATAATTTTCCAAAAGCTGCACCAATCATTTATTCACATTCCAGCATATGAACTATTCACCTTTTCAATCAATGCAGTTTATTGTTGAAATTGAACAAAGTCCGAAACGAGGCGTAGAAGCTGGTTTCTCTCTGATGAAGTTCAGTCTTTTTTTCAGGATAAATATCGCAGACGGGCTGAATTATTTCTCTAAGCACTAGAAAATGCATTTTTTTTTTCTTTAAATCTCTAAAACTATCATAAAAACAAAGCCTTGCATAGTTACCACTATAATTAAAAAGATGTGTTCCCAATTAAAAAGGAAGACATCCCAACGAAATTCTGTTCAGTAAAATTTCAGAGGTTTTTTCTTTCATGATGACATCTGTTTGATTTGTTGATGTTTGCTCCTTATTGCATCCTGATCATTTGGGTCATTAGCAAAGATGGCTGTGGTTTATAGTCATCGGTGTTTCTCTTCTGTCTCCAGGGGGAAACGGGCGAAGACGGGATGAAAGGAGAAAAAGGAGACACTGGAGGCGCGGTAAAAAAAACCTCTGAAACGTTTTGTTCTGCTAACCGAACCTTTTCTCTCTGCAGCAAAACCTGAAGCATTTCAGCGTCTGAAGATCTGGATCTTCTGATCCGGAAAAGAGGAACAGATTTGCAGAAAGCGACTGATCTAATAGAGGAACCTCTCATCCGCAGGGCATCCCAGGAACCAGAGGGGAGAAAGGGCTGAAAGGACAACGAGGCCTGAGAGGAGATCCGGTATGTTCTCCATCTCTCTTGTCTCTATGGTTGTAGAAATGAACGTTCAGATCTCCTCATCCTCCATCTCTGTTTCCTGGAACTCATTCGTTTTATAGACCAGCAGACCGGATCCTGAAAAATGCAATAAGATAAATAGAGAGAGAGAAATTCATTCATTCATTACTGGAAGCAAAGAGCTTCAGTTTCATTAAATTGAATTAGAAGAAAATGACACTTTGAAAAACTTCTAAAACAAAAAAGGAGCTTTATGATCTAAATAAACAAATTATTTTTTGCATAATTAATTTTTCACATTTTATTAGAATTTTACAAATCTTAAAAAAAGAGAGCTTTTAGGGAGAACAAGTTTTACAGAAATGGAAAGTGGGACTTTTGTGAAACATTTTTTAAAACGACGTTTCAGATTTAGTGTTATATCTGCTGACTGTAGCTGAAATCAGCTTCACTAAAGGAGTCACCTCCGCCCAGCTAACAGGGGGGGTTTACCATTAGGCAATACTAGGCAGTTACCTAGGTAACTGTTACCTAGGTAATGATGACCATAAAACTCTGCTTCCATGTATAGTTAATACAACTATTCCTTATTTGTTCACATTAATTATGTTTTTAATAAAGTGCCATCAGAACGCTGATAATATTAAGTGTGTCTCTGCCCCCCCCTTCAGTGTCCACCATATTGGATCAGTCCATTTGCTGCACATGTTCAGAAAGGTCCAAACAGACAGCAGCAAACCATTTGAAAACAAACCATGCAAAGAGCAGTGTTGCCAACTTAGCGCTTTAGGCGCTATATTTAGCCACTTTTCCTGATCCGTCCCGGAAGCGCGACCCGTCCTGCGTTTTCGCCATCAGCTCATTTGCGCATCCAGATATACA